GGTAAAGGTACAGATTGCTGTTTTGAAAGATTATTGACCGCGCGATATAATCTTCTGCGCGCATCTTTCTTCTTTTGCAACTTTTATAATTGTTGCGAACTTCGTTTACACGCATCAAGTGATCACGCGATCAAAGGAGATGGAAAAGAGAGAAATAGAAAGAGAAAGATAGAATACGGATTTGTCTTTTGCGATTTATTCTCGTAGGATAAAACTTGCTGGACGAACTTTCGAATAACTTACGGTCTTCGATAAAATATGCTTTCTGGAGATGAAATATGCGCTAGAAATCTCACTGCTTATCCTCCCCTCAACAACGAAATGTCCGAAACTTTTTATTTCCTTATGAGCTTTTTATGAATGCTACAACATTGGCCAGATCAGCGAAGTTATTTTCCGGAACAACGACATCGTTGCCCCATGTCTGATCGTATGGAAAAAGAGCATACCGAACGACACAGAAGCGTCTTGCGGAAATCGACGCTTTACGAGCGAGTCAGCTAGCTATTTCGCTATCGACATGAAACCGCGAAAATGCATTTGTGATGCTGTACACGCTACAAACGCCTGCGTGACGTGTTCGCGATCGTCAAAGTACCGCGTTAGGAAAACGGGGCTGAATATACGAAGAGGGTATGAGAAGGCAGATTGCCTTTGACGCGAGCAATAAAGTAACACTGTACGCCTCGCATGGCGCGATAAACTCCTCCTTTCTACAACTCGCGCGTCTGGATCTCGTCATCACTTATACGTGAGGGTGGATGAAACAGAGGCTAACCACGTCTATGTGTGCACACAGTAATATAATGCACCGTACATGCAGGATGCAACTTATCGCGCCTAAAACACGTATACTTCGCTTGTTCCGTTCTCTTGTTCACTATATATCGAATGAGTCAGCCTAACCTGACTACTATCTCGAGCAACTTAAGAAGCAATCGCGCGTATGCGGCTATAATTTTAGGAACGCTTTTTGGAAACTGATAATTAGCCGATAATCTCTTTCCGAGAGAACTTTGGTCACGGTCTGGCGACTACTTAATTGTGTGCTCTGCTATTTGTAACTATTTGTTTCCGATCCTTTATATCCCTGTAACTCACTCGTTCTCCTCGCATTCCCTATCGTCTTGTTCCACCCTAGCTCGTTCTATTCACTATTAACCTTTGTTTCTATTCGCCGACCAAGTTCTATGGAATCTATGGAGTAGAATCTATGGAGTTATCGCTCTACCATTACTTGAATAAACATTTCCAATTTTGCATTTGTAAACCCGGCTTCTTATGTAAAATATTTCCAACTTTCTAAATCTTATGCTGAGCGTTCACTCATATTACATACAATAACTTTCCGATCCTTTCCATTGTTGAATATTGAGGAAGTAATGATTATCCTTGAGTTAAATAATAGTTTGTTATTTTTAACTTCCATATGCATAAAAAAATCCGTTTCTATGATTAGTTTCAAAGTAAATCATTCATATTAACGTACACACTTAGTAAATAATAAATTAAATTTTAGTCAAATTTAATACATTTTCTTAAATTGTTTAACTTCATTGTTTTAGTTAAATTGACGACATATTGAGTAGAAGTAGTGGCGATTTATAGAAATATGTAACATGTAGAAGAGATAAGTTATGATACTAACACATAAAATTGTTTATATCTAGAAACGATTGAATTTTCGATTTATGTTTACTAAGGCTTTTTTATTTAGTATAGTACATATCATATAAATATTATATAATCTTTTTTTAACCTGTATAAAAAACCTGTATAAAAAACAACACGACACTTTCACGTTGATAACTTATCGCATTTCTAGCGACATTTCTCGTTAATAGCAAAGATCTATATTCCAATTATTTTTAAACAGAGTTCCGATTGCATTTTTTTGGTTTTAGCATAAAAAATGTAGAACTCTTTTTTATTTTTATACTATTTTTATGACTACCACTATTTATTTTATACAAATAAAGTATTGTGCTAACTTCACGGATTTTTAAAAAGAGTTCTATATTTTTTATATTAAAAAATTAAAGTTAAAGATGTATGGCTTGTTGATTTTGCGAATCTAGCATGATATTTCTCGTCTAAAGTACAAGAAAAAATAAACATTTTCACTTTTAGCTACAGATTCCGTTAGTATTATTACTCGAGTTTTATCAATATATATAATTTGAAAACAAAATCCAACAATTACCAATTTTAATACATTTTATAGAGTACCTATTAAAAAATCTATTCAACATTTATATGGTGGATAATATACATCATACTAAGTAAAAATAACAATATAGCTATATCATCATAATTATTTTTGTGTGATAAATATGTAGTATATAGTTAATATGACTTATTTACTTTGATGTGTCAATGTTACTACGTGTGATTTGGATGAAAACTTAGTTGAAGACTCATTTACTAAGCAACAGTTTCAGAAAGGAAAAACGATTTGCCACGCATAATTAAAAATATGTATGTGTGAAGTGCTCATTAGTCTGAGCACACATACCATGGTATACACATATTTAGTACGTGTAATGAGCCGTATTTGTTTTCTAGACTCACAGATGCTAAAAAGGACTTATTATACATACAAATGCAAACACGTCTAACAGTGGCATATGAAAAGTTCATCACATTGGCATATGAAAAGTTCGTCATATTCTCGTTACGAGAATACGTTGAAACGCATGAAACTATATATATATCGCATTAATAAAAAAAATTCATTTTAAAAGAAGTTTAACATATGTTTGACATACATAAGTAGAGTAAAAATGATACTTTCATCTTCATGATTTTTCATTTCTTCACTTTTTTCTTCTATGATTTTTTAAATGTTGGAAGAAAATATTAATTTTTTAAAAAATTATAATATATACGCTTTTGATGCAAACTAATTTTACAGAGTAATTTAACATTAATTATATCAGCAATGTACAATTAAAAGAAAAGAATGTTCTTCCACTGATAGAGTTCTGAGAGACTGTTATTAGTTTTTTGATAATCAACCTCGTGTCATAACCGGCTCTTGGTCTTCCCTTCTAAGGATTAAGAATACTGTTATAACTGTGACTTTAGTTTGTTTAATTTTCTGAGTCTGCAAAACGTTTCAGCACGGATCGCGCAAGCCGCAGCAAGAGAAGCGCTTATCTTACGGCGTAGATTTTTCTCTTGTTTTTTTTTTGCTCTGTAGAGCACGTAGAGGCCTGTGGAACAGGGTAGTTATCCTGCCCTTATATAAATGCTAATATAAATGCTGTATATCGTCTCCCTCTTGCACGATGTATCTTTGATAAAATTACAGTCCCGCTATGTCCTCTCTGTTCGCAGGAACTCATATAGAAAAATTTTTACGGAAGATTTTGCGTGCGAGGAATTTGTTATTCGTTCCTGCAATGATAAGTCGATGATACACCGAGAATCAAATTTTCATGCTTCTTCTGATATGTGCTTTGAAAAAATTTTGGCATCGTTTTCTTGCATTTCAAGCTCGATATATCTCCATGTCGTCACTACAACTCCAATGTTGATTCCGAGATGACGCTGAAAAATATGTTGTCCTTTAACTGGAATTTGCCTCCCTCGCGTTTACTCCTGTCTTTTATTCTGTTCGCTTCTGTTCGCGACACCTCTCTCTTCTGTCGGATCTCGCTCTATTCGGATTTCGCTTCCGAGCCAGTCGCGCGCGCGGAATCTTGTCGACGCGCCCATATAAATGCTAATGTTATACATTGACGTGGTATATGACCCGACTGGAAGAAGTTCTACAAATTTTGAGTCGGATGTAATCCATCTCATGGTATTGCGCGCGGCAGTACGATTTGTGATGATTGATTGATTCCAACCTTCTGAGATGATTCCATCTGGCTTTAATTAATAATAGGTAGGACAGAAGAATGTGATCTCGAGAACTCTGATTCAGCTTAGGATATTTAAACAAGAGAAAAATGAGAAATTAAGGTATGTTACAATTTCACTGGAATTATTAAGAGAAGAAAAAAAGGATGTTTTAAAAAATGTTTCGCTAATGTTACCATTAAAATTAAAGACTTGAAAGTGGATGCCTATTATATATATTTTTTATACAACTGTAATAGCTACGTGATTGCTTTAAAAAATCCTGAAAAATGGGTCGGACGAATCTCGAGGTCATATTCTTCAACTATATCGACAACGCTGCCAACGTCCCCGGTAAATGCAATTTTAAAGTGAAATAGAAAAACTCGAATTATACGGGACAATTGGTGCACAGTTGAGCAATTAAAGGCATTTGAATTTATTGAGTAAATTAAATCAGATTCAGTTCCTGAACCATTAATTATACAGTAGCTCGGTTTTTGTATTGTTGCCTTTTTTATCGCGGTCGGTTGAACTTTTTCCGGGAGTTTTGGCGTGAAAGCTATCGTTAAGCACGATCCGCGGATGTATACGCGCTGCCGCACGATCGGTCGATTTGATGCCAACCGCGTGTTGGATTTCGCACTAAATGCGCTGGCTTAGGCGGTACGCATGCATCCATTACCAGCCTCCATGATCCCCATCGATGGTCCAGACTTGAAAAATGACCGGTGATAAAATTTCCCGAGCGCAAAGCGATAGCACAAAAGAGAGGAAAAAAGGGAAAAAGAAGCAGAAAGAAAGAAACGTGCATCACAAGTAGTTGCAGTGATGGTTCAGTTAAAAATCTCGCTCGAAAAATTTCTCTCGCTCGAAAGTTTTCCTCCAACTTTTCTCGATGTGTTTGGTATGCTAGATAGACGAGACGTATCGATCTCCCTATTTTTGATTCGGTTGAAAAGATTCGTCGAGGTCGAGCTCCGAATTTTCACGCCTCACGTAGCTGCATTTTCTTTATTCTATGACATCATTTGGCTTCCACGGAGAAACTAATTTTCTTCCCCAAAATAATAGTACTTAAAACTACGGATATATATCAAAGCGATAACGTTTCCGCAGCACAATACAACTTGGCATTGCGCATTGCTACTTACTTGGAATATCCCAAACGCTGTGCCGAGGTGTTCATTTGTCCGCACGACCGTCGTCACGATCATTACTCTCTCTCTAGCTCCTCTCTGTCTCTCTCTTCCTTCCACTTCTCTCGAGTAATTTCTTTCTCTGTCTTCCTATCGTCAGTTTTCTTCTTCGCTTTTTTTTTTAGGCACTCTCTCTCTTTTCCGCAATCTCGAGTTCGCTTTCTGCCACAAATATCGTGTATTACCCGCGTTTAGCTATCGAGAACAAAGATTCGCATCGTACATAGTGACCTGCGCTATACATTGTAGATGCACGCATTGTACAAGTGCACGCGTGCGACACGCGCGCGCGCATCTATGCTCGGCTCGCCGCAAATCTCCCGCGGATCTCATCCACGTCGAAATGGTATGGCTCTCCTCTCCCGCAGCGATAGTAAGCGTGTCGCAGGTTCGACCCACTTTGGAAGGCGCAATTCCTCGCGGTTCGACCTCTGCCTACTCGGTCGATCGATAATTCCGATCTCGTCGATCGGTAGTTCACCGATATCGTTAGCATATTCTGCTACAACATCGTCAAAGATGTCACATGTGCCGACCGTCGCGACGGATCTTCTCTGGTACCATTGCTGCTTCCGGATGTCATACTCGATAATTTTCAGTCAGCTAACGACGATATAGCGCACGTAGACTTTGAGGCCGATCATGACAATCCCTCCCCCGCTCTTTTAGACTACGCTGTTGCGTGTCGCGCTCATGTCACGCTCGCGCTACTGATCGAATCACCCTGAACGTAGAGATGACCTCGTACGTGATCGAGGATCCTGCTCGGCACACGAGAGGACCATGTGCCGTGCGCACTGACGATGCTGTGTGTGCGTTCCAAAACACGTAAAAGAGCGCACGTTCGTGAGAACAAGCGCGTTTACGTGTGTGTTCTCGAAGGCACGTAAGCACCGCGTCGACGCGTTCCATGCGCCGTCGGTGGAGGGTTGTAGGCCGCCCGCGGTCCAGGCCGCCACGCAGTATACTGAGCAGTGATGCCGAGAGCCCGGGAGAACCCGCGGGAGCCTGTTCGTGGGTGAACGAAGCTCTCCGAAAATCTGCGAAGATCCTCGATTCGATACACTCGGGGTCGCGCCACCAGCGCACCGAAGGACACGGATGGACCACCGGGACTACCTGTCGGACCAACAGCATCATCACCATGGAGCGGAGAATCTCTCTCTTTTCTTGAATCGACTCGTTCGGCTCTTTACGTCGATAAGATTGGTGCAATCGTTCTTTTCTTTTTTTTTCTTCTTTCCCTCTTTTCTTTCCTTCTTCTTATTCCTCTCCTTTATCTTTGCCGAGCACAATGAGCTTACGTGTTCTAAAAAGATAGAAAGTCAAGGCAGATCGCTTCGATACTGTTGTATATATACGAACGACATATATATG